GTTTGTGTTTATAATACTATTAGAATTATTATTTGATTGATTATTAGTATTATTTGATGGATTATTAGGATTATTTGACAGTTTGTTATTGACATTGTTATTTGATGAATTATTAAGATTTTTAGTTGAAATTGTTTTAGTATTTTTCATTAATTTTCCCTTATCAGCTTTACAATCTTCTTCATTATTAAGTAACTTATTAAAATCAAATTCTACTTGAGGCATTAAATCATGTTCCTTTAAATTATTTGGTATTTTAATCGTTGCCTCAAAATCTTTAGAGTTTTTTAATGGTACAGGATTATCATCACCTAAAGACTCACTTAATTTATTTAATTCCGCTATTATATTTTCCATTTCATTACATTTTAACATTTTTATAACTACACTTATTGAAAAAAACATGCTAAAACAGGCAAATAAAAATATAAAACAGTAAACAATTTATTGTAAATAGTTATTAAACAATTCATTTTGATTTACTTCTCCTATAAACTCACTATAAATTATATCCATGCCTATTCTAACTACCAAAAACATGTTATTTGAATTTGAAAATTCCTTAAGTTCTTTTATTTCACTAAATTCACTATTCATCAATTTTAAGTCTAATTTGTTAGTTATGTTTAATAAATCTTCTATTCCATTAACTATGTCTTTAAGATAAACTAAATAAAGGATGTTATTATCAATGTTGTTAACAAGTGAGTGAGTTAAATTACTTATAATTGTTATGTTTATATGATAACTGATTCTGTTATTAAATATCTTATTTAAAGTGTTAATTAGTAAGTCATTCTTTCTAAAATTTAAACTAAAACTACAATTATGACTTTTATTTGTTTTATTCAACACAATCAAATAATTATCCCTTGTTATTATTTTAAAATCATTGTCAATCATTTTTATAAAAAATTTGAATAAATTTTATTTCATTTTTTTCAACTCATATTTTAATAGAAAAATATTAATAATAAAAACATAAATACCTAAACTTATTCCTGCTATCACATCAATAATATCATGTTTTCCATCTAATATTCTCGTTGAACATCCTAATATAGCTAATAATATCATTAAAAAATATAAAATTTTATCATATTTAAAATTACGTTTGTTATTGAAATAAATAAAATAAAGAGTTGAACTTATTAAGATTGATGAATGACCAGATGGGAAACTTGAATTATAATACATATCGGGTGTTTTATTTCTTTTAAAAGGTCCTTCTTTTTTTATTAATCCTTTAATAAATGCTGTTATACATAGCGTGTTTATTGTATTTAAAAAATGACCTTTTATTAACAACAAACATTCCTTAGTTTTCTTTTTATTAAAATATATAAAGATGTAATATAATAATGGTAATATAAACGTTATTGTTATAAGTAAAGGAAAATCAATTGTATCTTCTTTAAAATCTTTTTTATTGTCACTAGTTGTTATTTCAATTATGTTTAATTCTAAAATATATGCTGTTGCTAATAAAATAGAAATTAATGTAAAGATTATTAATGAATTCATCCTTTAAGGGTTTTTATTTTTAAAAATTTTTTATCAAAAAATAAAATACAATTTTTGAATTTTATTTTTAAAAATTTTTAAATAAAACTTAAAAAACTTCATGTTTATTAAACAATTTATATTTAAAATTTTTTAATTGATTAATTATAAAAAGTTAATATACTTATTTTATATCATTAAAAAATTAACAAAAAAATCTCTAATTATACTTTTATTTGATTTTAAATTTTTATTAATGTTTAATAAAAAACAGATTTTGTTAAAACATTAATAAAAATAAAAAACAAAAAAATAAACTCAATTTATAATCTCTAATACTGCTAAAATGTCTACTAAGGCAACTAAAATTGATATTACAACTCCTCCGATTATATCAGATGGATGATGTTTACAATCTAAGTATCTTGTAAATGCAACCCATACAGAAGTTAAGAATGTTAAAATAAATACAAGTATTTGATTTGAAAATTTGATCTTCATTTTGTAATTAAAAAACATCAAATAAGGTAAAAATGTAAACATTAACGCAGTATGACCTGAAGGAAAGCTTTCAAATAACCACGGATCATTTTGATGCTTTCCTTTTCCACAGTTATCAAAACAAGGTCTTTTTCTTAAAATAATCAATTTTAAACAGTGAATTAATGATAAACTACAAAATGAGTTAAGAAAGTGACCAAGAATTATTACAACAAAATTTGTATCAAGTTGCATCTTTTTATCTAATTTACTACGTTTATTAGAGTAAATGTAAAAATAGTAAACCAGTGGAAGTACAAATGTAGATACAAGCACATAAGAATGAGGAACTGTTGACTTTCTAAATTCACGGTTTGTTACAGGTGAATTAATTCTTATACTGTTTTTAAACACTTTAAAAGACATGACAAGTAACGATGTTAATAATGTTAATAGTGATAAAGTTATAAAAAACATGGGTGTAAAAAAATGTTTTTTTAAGTACATTTATTTATGCATAGCAATAAGGCTTCCATTTTTTATGTTCATGTACATATGCTGCCAGTTGACGTACTTCTCCATTATTATATGAAACCACATCATGTCTAATAAGATTGTTTCCTCTAAGATCTTTAACTGGAAATGCGAACTCAACACAATCTTCACTTTTGATTATTATGACTGCATTTACTTGATACTTATATACATAATTCTTATTATCTTCTGCACATCCAATGTAAACACAGACGTAATTACATTTCTTAAATTCTTTTGCTGTTATTCCACATAATTTCTTTACCACTCTAATGCATCTATCTTTGTAATAGGGTGGTGAACAGTCACCGATTGACCATCCATCCTTAAACACAGGTTCATTATCACAATAATAACCATCACAAGGATAAAATTTAAACTTCCAATCTGATGAATCTGAGTCACAATAATCACAACTTTCATCACTCGAATAATAACAATTTCCGTCATAACCACACCAGTCATACTTCTTCTTATCATAATCACACCAGTCATACTTCTTCTTATCATCGCAAACACACTTTTCCTTGTCTTTGCAATCATATTTCTTCTTATAAGCGTTCTTCTTATGGTATAAATCTTAAAGGGTAATCTTGGACTCCTCTTTCTTTCATACTTTCTATGATCTTTGCCAAATAACACATGTGGTTTACATATATAACTTGGCCCATAAGGTTTGGGTAACATACAAGACATAAGGTCTACAAGTAGGCTTATCATACATTTAATGCCTTTTTTCTTTATATATTTTTGTGCATAAATTGCATGATTTATTTCTTTTAACAAACAAACATTTTAATAAATTTTCAAAGTATTTATTGATAATTTTTATTTACATTTCCACAATACTGAAATATAACACCGTTATCATCAATATTATAAGCTGCAAGATACTTTGTAGATAATCCACCCATTTTAGGTTTGACAACGTGACTCACGAGATTGTTTTCAGATCTGAAAGTGCAAGTAATTTCTATTTTATCTTTTTCTATAACTTTAACACTACAATATTGATTTTCTTGATTAAAGATGTATTCTGATGATGTGATTACAACACCATAATTTGCGGTAATTTCAAAATTGTTAAGAAATTCACGTGCTGACATTCCTTTAATTTCTTTAATTGCTATAAAAGTGGTATTGTATAAATCTTTAGAAATGCTACATTTTAAATCTTTAATAACAAGATTATTTGAATTACTAGGTTTCATTCCATAAGTATCTACAGGTGGATTAGGATACTTTAAAGAATTAAATTTTCTTTCTCCATAAACTGGAGTGTAACTGTTTTGTCTAAATGCCTTTATAATTTGAATAAAGGTTAGAATAATTTGCATCAAAATAGGGGTTATTTTTTTATTTTTTTAATTAAAAATTAAATAAAAACAAATAACATCGTAAAAATTATAAATTTTATACTTTCTTGTAAAATTATAATATAAACAGATTGTTGTTTTGATTAGAGCTTAAATTATACACATATAATTTTTAAATAATAAACCTATTATGATTTTTGAAAAAATATTAAAAATATAAGATATAGAAGAGTCTTTTTTAACCTTTTTTAGAGGAAAATGGCTATGTAAAATTTATAGTCGAGAGAGTTTGTAAATTTTGCAGCAGCAACAGATTTTTATTTATTAAATAACTAATGTTTCTAAAGAGATTGATAAAAATATTTTATAATTTTTTAAAAAAAATATATATAACATTTTATAAAGCAATCCGATCGTGGGTGTTAATCAAAACAATACATATTGACGTTTTTTAAATTTTCAAATTATTTTTTAAAAACATCTTTATATGAAAAAGTATAATTTTTTTAACAATTTTTACTTTGTTATTAAAATTAATTTAATTACTTCTTTCTGTATTAAAAAAAGTTATTTAAATTTAATTATCGTTTAATGTATAAAGTTATTAGTTGTATTGTTTTATTTAACAAAATAAAGATTATTTTTCTTTTATAAGACAAATCTCTTAGTTTTTCAAATGACATTAAAATTAAAATATTTAAATAGAAAAAAGTGTTTACTTTCTTCTTAAATATAAATCAATTCTTTTTCAATCAATGTTTTCAATCAATTCTATTTTAATTAAAAATACTTCTAATAATTATTATAAATCAAAACTTAATCAATTTAAAAGTATATTTATTTAAAAATTAACATATTCAATATATAATTTATATTTAAATATGATTGATTTTTATTATTATTGTAAGTTATTAATTTTATAAAAATTTTCATATTATTGATTGATTTCTTTAATTAAAAAAATTATTTTTTAAATTAAGAAAATATTCTATGATGGAATAAGTTTAAATTCTAATTATTAAAAAAAGTATAAAAAATATTTTAAAAACAAAAAAGTTTTTATTTCAACATTTTATTAATAGGTAAATGCACAGAACTTTTCACCATATCTTTTGTAAGCAGCCATATATCTAATATCATTGCATCTTCTGTAAGATGGTTTAGATACGGCAACATATCCAAGCAAATTAAAGTTGCTCAAACATTCATAGTCAAATTCAATCTTAATAAGACCATCAGAATTTGGAACAACAGAAAAATGTGGAGCAATGAAAACTTTGTACATGTATTCATTATTTTCTCTTACATATCCAAGGTTAATAAAGAAGTCATATGTTCTTATGATTTCTTCAGCTGATTTACATCCACTTACTTTCTTATAAACAACAACCTTTCTTTTACCATATGAATGTTTGTCGTATCTGTCATAGCACCAGTCATCATACAATTCAGGTTTGCATCCTCCTGTAACAAATGGTACATCAACATCACCAATAGAAAAACCATACTTTTCCTCTGGTAAATTGTTTCTAGTAGAACAGTGTGGTGCTTGCCAGGTTGCATCATTAAACTTGTAATATTCACATCCATGGCAGTCTGGTTTTGGATAACAATCATTGTCATACCAACTATCAAATGTTGGCTTGCAATCATAATCATAATCCCAACAATCAATTTTATAATGATGCTTTGGCTTGTAGAAATGACAATCAGATGAGGATGAATCATAATACCTGTGTCCACTAACATCTCTTACAAAACTCAATAGTTGTATAATTGTATTCATTTTAATGGGGTAAAATTTTATTTTTCTTATAAATTAATTTTATTAAAAAAGTAATATTTTATAAATATTGTGACACGTAATTAAAATAATTATTTTATAAGAATCAAGTTTTAAAATGATTTGATTGTATTTTTTTAATAAACAAATTTTATCTTAAGTTTTGTTTACTAAGCAAATAAAACAATTAATTTTCCTGTCAAATAATAAACAAAGTTTTTAATCAACATTTATTAATATGTGAAAGGTATAAATCTGTTGCCGCATTTAGAATAAGCAGCCATAAATCTAATGTCTTTACATTGATTAAATGGCTTGGAAACTGCTACATACCCAATGAGATCAAAACAATATTTTTCTAAACATCTACCTGGGAAAGAAATCATTATCATATCTGAACTTATTGGACAAGCATCTACTTTCATATAAGCTGGGTAGTAATAAGTGTTATTTGGTAATCTCCAACCTACATTAATAAAGATATCATAACCAGCCAAGAATTCATAGGATGTTTTACCACACAACTTTTTATGACATACAATAGTAAATTCTTTGTGGTGTCTGAAATTTCTGTTGTGTTTTGAATACCTAAAACTATAATGTTTGCATGGAATATCAACATCACCTATGCAGAATCCATATCTTTCAACCGGCATATTAGAAGCTGTATTACATGTTGGGAATTCTAATCTAGCATCACAGATTGGTAAAAATTCACAATCACCACAAGGATTCCTAAATAAATCTCTACTCAGTTTGTTCATATATTTCCACTTACAATCATTACAATCAGGATAATATTTTGGTCTTACAGGAAAGTAAGGATAAGTAGGTCTACTGAATCCAGGATCAATAACATTATCGAATCCAAACCCAGGGTCTATAAAACCTGTTACTTCTATTATTCTATTTACAATCATATTAAACAGTATACTCATATGAGGGTAAAAAAATAGATTTGTTTATATTTATTCTTTATTAAAATTTCAATGTTCTTAAAACTAAAGATATCAAAAAGTATAATTCAATCACTAAAATTAATATTTAAGTTTAAAATATAATTTCTAAAAAAGTACATTTGATTTTTAATAAAAACAAATAAACAAATTTTTCTTTATTAACCATAATGAATAAAATCTAAATCTTTTATTTGGTAAGCAGTACCAAATCTAGTATCGTTTATAGTCTCATCTTTAGCTATTACTACATAATTGATCAAATCAAAATCTAATTCTTTTTGAAGTTCTGATTTGTAAATAGCAACTAAAATTGAATCAGTTAAGCAAATTAATTCACAAAGAACCATTGATGTATATTCATAGTCATCTTGTGATGTGATATATCCTAAATTAGAAAAAATGTAATAATTTTCAACAAACTCAGATGTTTTAATACCACTAATTTTTTTAAAACAAAGTATATATTCATTATTGTCTCTTCTCAATGTTCTATAAAGTGGATTAATTATATCACCAATATAAAACCCGTTTTTTAATTCAGGTCTCCTTATATTTCCATTATTATCGCATATGTATACTTCAGATTTGATTAAATTTACTATGGTATTTATAAACATAAACATTTCAATGGGGTAATAAAAAAATTTGTTTGTTAAAAATACTAAAATTTTTAATTAAATTTTTTAGATATTTCATGAGAAAAGAAGAGAAGAAGGAATTTAGAAAAATACAAAAGAAACAAGCATATGATTTGTATAAAAGTAAGACAATTATTAAAAATATGGGATATAAAGATGCAGCACCATTTGTGGTTACTTTTATGAATTTTGAATCACTTAACAATGGAAAGAAATTCTATGATGAGTTAATTTCTAATATGAAGTGTGAAGATATAGATACTAACCAGTATAAAGTTGGGAGCAAACTCTTCACAATGTTTTACTATGATTTGAGTAAAAACATTAACACAATGATAGATTTAGTGAAAGCATCTGATTATATAATATTCTATCCTGGTAAGATTTTAAAGAAAGATTTATTAGAATGTATTAATGTAATGAACTCATTTGGTGTTTGTAAATTATCGATAGCAATAGATAAACGAGATAGAGGGGATAAAGAGATAAGCAAAAGGATTAGTAAAGATCTTGGATTTAAACTAAAACCACAAACACTTGAACAAACATTATTTAACTTTAGAAAATTTAAAAATAGACCGGTTGAATTCAAATGTAGTAGTTCGTATTTGATAAATGATAAAATAGAATTTGAAGATAATCAATGAAAGTTAGTGGATATTTAAGAGGTAAACCAATAAGTTTGAAAGAATTTAAAGAAAATTTATATTCTGTTAAAGATCAAAAGTTTATTAAAGTTAATCAATTAAAAATACTTAAGAAAAGTCAAGTAAATAATGAATTAAAAGATAATGAAGAAGATGATAGTTATTTAGATAATGAAGAAAATGATAGTTTTTTAGATAATAAAGAAGAGAATGAATTAATAAATAATAATGAAGATAGTAGTTATAATAAAGAAATTAAAAATGATTTAATTAATAGATTTAATAATAATGAAGAAGATATTGAATTTAAAAAGAAAGATAATGAATTTAATAATTTTTTAATGAAATCAAAAAGACAAGAATTAATTGATACAAAAAATTATTTAAGTTTAGTTGATGATAATATTTTATTACCTGGTGATTATATTGAACTTTTATTTAATACATCAAAAGAGGTATTAAATGATACTTTAATGGTGTTTACATACTTAAACAGAAAAGTTGAAGAATTAGAAGAATGTAGATTTTTGCAAGGAAATTTTAAAAAGAATAAGTGGTTTAATGGCAGGGGTGTTGATGTTGAGTCAATTCAAATCAGTATTGGGTGGTTTAGAAGTTCTATAAAGAATATATTTTTTAGTGATTATGAATCTGATTATATTATAGATGGTATACCTAATGAGATATGTTATATTAATATATTAGATAAGTATGTAAAAAATGTATTCGAGTGTAACTCGAAAAAGTTTATCTTATATTTTTATGATGGTGAGTATAATATATTTGGATATGGTAAACTGTTGAAAAGTGATGTTAAATTATATAGACCATACTATTTAGTTGGGTATCCCAAGTCTATAAATCTATCAAACGTAGTAGTAAAAGGAATGTTTAAGAATAAAATGGAAGTTGATAAATTTACAGGTGCAAAGATAAAAACATCTTCTGGTATTAGAGGAGTGTTAAAAAGTTCATTAAAGAATGGTGAGTTTAGAGCTACATTTGAAGGAAATATCAGCAGTAAAGATGTTATTTATTTAAAGGTTAATGAAGTTATTAGCTTTAATAATTTAACAAGAGATTATAACGATATTAATGATAAATTAGATATGATAGTTGAGAAAAACGTATTAACAGTTCAAAATAGTGAAGTTAAAGAAAAGTTAATTGAAAAAATTAATAAACTAGAGAGTGAGAAAACTAAAAAAGTTAATAAACCTAAGCCGTTATTAAAAGATTTAATAGCACCAGATAAGAATAGTAAATTAACTAAAACTATTGAAGAATACAAGAAAATAAAGGAAATTTCACTTTTAAATAAAAGAGAAATAAAGACAAATGAATTAGATGAAAATATGAAATTTATAAAAAGAAAGAAAGCAATTATTGATAGTTCAATATCTAAGAGAGTTAAAAGAAGGAAGTAAATATTCATTCTAATTTGATCTTGTTTTTCTTATAAACTTCTAAAGTTACATCTAATAACTTATCAAACTTTTTATAATCTTTATCAATATAACTATTCAATAATTCATTCGTAATGTTAAATACTTCATCATTCTTTTCTTTAGTGGGAAATATAAAATTATAAATAAAATTATAAATTTTTGTTAAAAATCCTATACTTTTGTGTTTTTCAATTTTTCTATTAAAACTTTCATTGTTTTTTCTATTAAAAATTTCATTATTTGTATTTTTTCTATCTTTTTTAAAAAACAATTCTTCATCAATAGAATATTCATTTATATCAATAGAATTCTTATTATTTAATTGAATATTGTTGTTTGTATTTGTAGTTTCATTTAATTTTGAATACTTATTTAAAACTTCATTAACTGTTAATGAACTATCAAGTGTATTTCTATAAGTAACATTTGATTTTGAATTGGTTTCTATTAAAGAATCCTTTATCTTATTATATTTTACAAAGATGCCTTTATTAGGCGGAGAATCAAAATACCGAATACCATTATATGTTCCATCATTTCTACCTACCTCTCTATCAAGTAGTATACCAACCCATATACCCTCTTTACCAAAAATGGGTCCTATAAACCTTACTATACCATTATATTTATCTTTAATAGACACCCTGTCATTTATGTGTATTTCATCACTTAATCCCATGCAGTCCAATTTTAATTAAAAAATAAATAGATTTTATTAAAATTTAATGAAAATCAATGTAAGAAATTTTAATTAAAGAACAAAACATTTGTTTTTAAAGAATTTTTTAAAGATTTTATTTATCACTTATATGTGATAAAACTTTATTGATTAATAATTTTAAACTAATGTTTTTTATATATTTATATACAGTATTGATCAAAAAAAAGTGACCACTTGAAAAATATGATAAATAAATTTAATTTAACATTTTTAATAATA